CGACCGGCGAGGGTGGGGCGGGGCCGCCGTGAGCTCCGCGGCCGGAAGGCGGGGCGGAGATTGAGCAACCCAGAGGCGGGCCGAGGCGCTGCGAGAGAAGGGAGGGCGGGGCGCCTGGCGGGCGGTGGGTCGGGCCCACAGAGACTTGGGACGGCTTTGCAGTCTTTATACATATACATATATATGCCATTTTTATATGTGCACTTTTTCTATATATTTACAATTTATATATCTATTTGTCGATTTACTTTTTTTTATCATTTTATTGGAGGCTCGTACAACCCTGATCACAATGCATACATCAATTGCATCAGGCATGTTTGTCCATAGGTTGCCTTCATTCTTTTCTAGACATTTACTTTCTATTGAGCCCTTGGTCTCAGCTCTTCCCCTCCCCCAATTTTATAATTAATTTACCATTGTTGAGAACACACACCGCAGGAAACCAAACGCCTGCATCGTGTAGATGCCAACTCATTAGCGACCGAGTAGGACTGACCCTTTGGGTTTCTGAGGCTGTAACTTTTTCCAAGAGTAGACGGCCTCATATTGCTTCCTCGGAGCCCACTGGTAGACTCCAACCGCTGACCTTTAGTATAACCCGCAGAGTATCCACCCATTCCACCATTTCTCCTTGTGATACTGGTAACATTCTTCAAGTGCTACGAACATTCTCACCCTGCTTTTCCGCGTTGTTCCTCTTCAGTTAGCACAAATAAGCTCACTGCCCCGTTTTCTGTCCAGTACTCTCATTTTTGCAGTCTTTTAATGGTATTCGCGGGATAAAATGACCATGTATGTATTTTGAGATGTAATGCAACCACTGTGAACTTCCACACTGTTTTTCATCCTCTCAAAAGGAAATCCTTTTCCCTTTAATAAGCAACTTCTCTCTCATAAGGAGCTCTGGTGGATTATCAAGGCCAGCAGTTCAAAACCACCAGATACTCCTCAGGAGAAAGATGAAGCTTTCTACTCCCACAGAGAATGACACTCAGAAAGAAACCTGCAGAGGCAGCTCTACTCTGTCCCACAGGGTCACCAGGAATCCTATGGACTCAATGGCAGAGTGTTTTGAATGAGTGTCTGGCTGGATGTGGCCAGCGCTGCCCATTCAGCTCTGTGCATGAAATAAAGGAGGCCTTGGAGGGTGGGAAAAGCAGGTGTGTGATATTGGTAAAATTTGGTTCTTCCCAGAGTCAGCTTGACCTTAAGATCATAGAGATGGGCTACTGCATTACAGGTCCCTACAGAACTTGTAAATGTAAAAAGGACAATCTAGGATAATTGGAAGTCATCAAAAATCAAATGGAACAT